AGCACAATATGAAGTAAAAAAGGTGTGCAAGGAAAAACAAAAAGAAAGCATCATAACAAAGCGAAACTCACACAGTGATAAATTCAAAGTTGAAGCTCTACAAAGAAGATCTTCATAGAAAATCTTTAGAGTTCTTTGTAGACTACTTGTGCCAAATTCATATATCACAACTTCTATAAGAGAATAAGCTATTTGTGTAACTCTTAGCAATCTTATTTGTAAGGGTTGAACCTGAAGAGGCTTGTTTAAAAGAATACTTAGTGGTTGAGCTTGAAAAAGCTTGTTTAAAGAATACTTGAGTTTGAGCCTAGAGAGGCTTGGTGAAAGAATACTTAGTTTGAGCCAGAAGTGGCTTGTTAAAGAAAACTTGGATCTTGTTAAAGATATATAAACTCAATTTGGTTGGATTAAGAACTGGATGTAGTCTCTGGGTTGGAGAAGAACCAATGTAAAAACACCTATGTCATTTCATTTGTTTCTATTACTTCATCTGATTACCTTTTAGTGCTTCATCTGTTTATGTTTTTCATTGCCTCATTATAAAAAGGTGAACTTTTGATATACACTATTCAAACCCTTTTTAGTGTATATCTTTTTCTCCAACACTAGACTTTTTACATTGGAAGAGTAACCGTGCGACACTTTGACACCACGTAAGCACTCACAGAAACTTGTTTTCTCATTTTTTGATAGAGTCTGACATGTTGGGGACAAATATGTTCTCATACCCTTAGATGGAGGATACTGTTAGTCCCTTAGCCTCAATTAACTTAAGAGGGGGGTGAATTAAGTTTTCTAAATTTCCTCTTATAAAAACTTTTCCAATTACTTTCTTATCAAATTTAATTCCTTAGATAAATTTATATATATAGAATGAATGATGATGCAAACTACACAATTACAATTAATAACAAGAAATTAAAAGTGTAGGAAAAGAAGAATTGCAAACTTGATTTTATACTGGTTCGGCCAATCCTGCCTACATCCAGTCCTCAAGTCTCCCACTTGAGATTTCCACTACTCTTGTAAACCTTACAAGAAATGAATCCTCCAACACCTCGGAACTCTCTTTCCTTGTGTTGAGATTCAAACACCAACAAGGAGAAAAACCCTTTCTCCTTTACAGATCCAATGATCTATTGAGTTTTATAGAATGACTCTCTTGAAGAGTGGATATTACACTTTTATGATCTTAAATAACTCTTTAGAGATTTTGCAAATGACTTTGGCCAAGTAGATTTTTTAAATTATTTTCACAATAGAGTTCGTCACCTTTCTTTGAAAAATTATAGGTATTTATAGACAATTGTTTCTTAGGTTATGTCTTTTCATGAAGAGGTGTAACTTTCTATAATTTTTCAAAAAATAGGCTCTGGTAATCGATTACAAGACTTGGTAATCGATTACAAAGGTTAAAGTTCAAAATGATTGAAACTTTGTACAATTTAAATTCAAATTTTGAAGTTTTATCTTCTGGTAATCGATTACAAGGGTCTGGTAATCGACTACCAGAACACATTTTGTATTTAGAATTTGAACTTTGAAATCACTACTAGAAAAATTAATATTTGTGACAAATTTTGTGACGGAAAAAATAGCATTGCTAATAGTGACGCATTTTGTGAGGGAATTTTAAGTTTTGTGACGGACTAGAATTTATTGACTTTTGTGACGGAATATATTCCATCTCTAAAAATCCGTCACAAATTTCGTCACTGAATCAAAAAAAAAAAAATTTGTGACGGATTTTGTAACGGAAAAATTTTCGTCTCCAATAATCCGTCACAAATTTCATCGCTAAATAAAAAAAAATGTTTAACATAGAAAATACGACACCATGAGATGTATCCAACAAACATACAAACCAAAAGTTGGGTGCTTTATGAAGACAACTAAAGTAGAAAGAGTCTTAAATAAAGAAGACTTATCTACCTTGGGCACCACCAAGGAAGTAGCACAAGAAGTAGGACTAAGTGAAGTCCACTTCTTCTTCACTAATTCTTGAAGTTGAGATTTTTTTTCTTTAAAAAGGACTTGTTTTTAAACCTCCACTTCATGACTAGTGGCAACATGAGAGAAAGAGTTAAGGTCTTGATGAATGAAGAGTCTTTTTTAAATCATTTTTAATGGTAAAGTGACTCTCTTTAAACATAAGCCCTTTGGAAGAAATATTATCCTCCTTACTCTTCGTTAAGAGTGTTGGTTTTTGTTTTTCTTTTTCTAACCACTCTTTAACCCTCTCTATACTTTTCTTATTTTTTTCTTTCTTTATCATTTGTATTTTATTTTCTTTTTCTTTTTTTCTAAGTTCTTCCTCTCTTTTTGTATTTTCTTCCTCATGCATACTCTTAGGGGTTCTAACCCTTTTGGCTATTTGAGACCCAGTTGGAACAACCATAAGTTTGGATCCACTAGTTTCTCTCCCCTCAACTAATTTTGCAAGTAATTGTCTTATTTCTTCATTATTCTTTGCATTTTCTTTTTCCCTTTTTCTAATTTCTTCCCCTCTTTTTATGTTTTCTTCTTCTTTTTTTCTTAGGTACTTTTCTAAATCCCTAAGTTCATCTCTAACACTAGGTCTACTACTATGAGAGTTATGCATATACACACTAGAACGATATGAATGATCACTCATATTTGTTCAAGAAAGGTTTTCTCAAAAGTGTTTGAAGATTTTCATAAAGAGTGAGTGATAAAGGATTTTCACATTTAGGTGCATGATAAGACCATGCAACCTAGGTGCCCTCCACTTGGGCCTAAGCCTTGCCAAGTCCAAAAATAAATCCAATGCCACCAAAAAACATGTCTAGGCCTAGTTTCCAACCTTAATAAAATACCCTAGCTATAAAATAAAATCTGATAATCTAAGACACCCCATAATACAAGGGTAAAATGGAAAATACAAGTAAAAATAAATCCTATGACTAAGACACCCCAAAATATAAGGGTAAAATAGGAAATTAAAGACAAGGGCAAAAATAGGAATAAATCCTATACTAATAAAAACTTAGGAGCTAAGGCCCAAAAGTAGTCCGACTCCTCTTGTGGTTTTCAAAACTAACCCATTCCTCTTGCCTCCTTCAATATATCACCTCTTGGTCTTCTTGGCCTTAGTGTGATTCTATCAGAGAGAAAAACAAATAGTCACTTCAATAGCTACTTTTTGCTGACATTGTTTCTACAAGCTTCGTTTGGTATGGAAAGTTGATAAGTAGTCTCCTTGAACAAATAAAAGGTGATTTTTGGTGAAATGCATTTAATGCTCAGATTAAATGTGCTAAATGGTTACCTATCATCACAAGGAAACACGATGAAGATAGACGAAGCAAACTTATGAGATGGACTCAAAGTGTTGAGACAACCATCTTCTCCAAAGCTGTTATATAAGAAGTTTTGAATATCATGACAAGAAGAAGCTCTTTGATTGAAATATAAGAACATTCACAAACACAACTCTTTTGTATAGTTTTTGTCTTGTAGAAAAATATTTGTACCAAAATGTTATTGTATTCACATCTTAGAGAGACAATCATAACAACCTTGTAATACCTAGATAACTATTGTTATAGGGTAGAGCCTGGAAAGGCTTGATTGTAAAAGAATACTTGGGTAGTGGCTTAAAGAGGCTAGTTAAAGAACACTTGTTGTAGAGTCAAGAGAGACTTGATTGTAAAAGAATACTTAGGTAGTGGCTTAAAGAACCCAGTCAAAGAACATTTTTTGTATAACTTAGAGAGGTTTTACTGTAAAAGAATACTCAGGTAGTGATTTGAAGAGGTCAATCAATGAACACTTGTTGTAGAGTCTAAAGAAGATTGATTGTAAAAGAATATTTGGGCAATGGCTTGAAGAGGCCAATCAAATAACACTTATTATAGAGTCTAAAGAGGTTTGACTATAAAAGAATACTGGAGTAGTAGCTTGAAAAATTCAGTTAAAGAACACTTGTTGTAGCTAGAAGTGGCTTGGGAAAGAATATTTATAACTTTGACAAAGTTAGTGTAACTCAATTTGGTTAGATTGAGAATTGGACACAGTCTCTGTGTTTAAAACGAACCAATATAATTTTTCATTATTCTTTTTTATTACTATTCTAACACTTCGTCATTGTAGATACTACTTCACTCTCTTGAGTAAAATGCGAATTTTTGATATTCATCATTTAACCCTTTTTTAGTAACTATCTTTTCTTCACAAAAATAATATGAGTCCTTTACCCTTGGAAATGATTTTGTGAATCTTTTGTAATGCTTACAAACAATTTTATTCATAAATCTCTTTATTGCTTTAAAATTAATTATATATGATGGTTAGGAGGGTAAAAGGGTGTCACAACTTTTTGAAAGACTAAAGTAGAAGAAGAAAAAGTATGAAAGAAGACGGTGTGCATATTATAAGTCAATTATTTACTTTTAAAATAACCAACAAAATTGAATGTTTGAAATCCTAAAAAATAATGAAAGAAGGGGTGTGTGCTAGAGAGATGACAAGATAAAGGTGTGTTTGAAGATAAGGGGAAGAGGAGTTCGTAAAGTCAAAAAATTAGAAAATAAAAAAAATATTAAGGATATTTTGGGAAAAAAGTATAATGAAAGTGTATTATTAATGTATAGATGTGTGTTTATATATATATATATATATGAAATAATTTTGTAAAAATTGTAAAAGTGAGTTTTTTTTTATATTAAATATAAAATAGAGAGGAGGTCAAAGATACTAGTTTAATTTTTTAGGCACAATGAATGGAAAGAATTTTATATTGTCAACTAATAAAAATATATTTTAAGTATAGTTTTAAAGTGATTATTCTAAAAATTAATAATTTTATATTATCCTATTGATGGATGATAGTATAATTTTTTCTACACCATCAATATATTTTAATATTAAATATTAAATTAATTTTTCTACTGAAAAATCCAACACGTAGGGAAGGTTTGGGCCGTGGTTTATATTTGTGGCCCGTAAAGACCCAAAAGGAGTGTTGGTTAAGCGTTGACGAGCCATTCGTTCCAAGTTTGAATTCAAAAAAGATGTTTCACTGTTTCTGATTCTTCGTCTTCGTTTAGTAGAAGCCACTCCATCAAGTGTTCGTGAAAATGCCAGATAGAAACTCCTTCGTCCACACCCCACGAAGGTCGCCGAGATTCTTCCCCGAACAACACCACAACACTCCCAACCCCAAATCCGCAAAACGCACCGTTTCCGCCCAAAACTGCGCTGTTGCGTCGAGAAGATCGCCGAGGCTGAACAATGGGATCGATCTCAGACGATCTTCCAGGTTGAACAAAGAGACAAGCGATGAAAAATTGAGAGCCGCCAGAGTGAAGGCTGGTGATGCTGAAACGCAGGAAAACCGTGTCGTTTCGGAGGAGGGGTTTGGTGGAGGAGCGAAGAAGCGGGGAAATGGGAAGAGACTTGATGGTAAAACGCGGGAAAATCGTGTCGTTTCGGATGAGGGTTTTGGTGGAGGAGCAAAGAAGGGGGGAAATGGGGAGAGGGTTGAAGTCAAAATGGAAGATAATCGTGTCGTTTCGGATGAGGGGTTTGGTGAAGGGAGAAAGAAGGAGAGAAAGAGGAAGCGGGTTGAAGTTAAAACGGAAGAAAATCGTGTCGTTTTGGATGAGGGGTTTGGTGGAGGAAGAAAGGAGAGGGGAAAGGGGAAGAAGAGAAAGCGCAATGGTGAAGAAATTGGGAAAGGGTGGACGGAGGAACAAGAGTTGGCTCTTGAAAGAGCGTATTTGGCTGCAAAGCCTAGTCCACATTTCTGGAAGAACGTTTCCAAACTGGTATGCTTCGTTCTCTCCGTCTCTGAGTGAAAATGTTCATTTTTTGTTTGGTTTTAACTGGGAATTGAGTTTGAGAATAATCAAGTAGTAATTTATCTGAAATTTGCATGATTGGGATTGGCTTGTGCAAATTTTGAAAGCTGCCTGTTAAATGGTTTACATGTTAAAGAGTTTGATGTGAATAGGATCAATGAAATTTAATATGCTTGTCTTCTTTCTGCCTTGGTTCTCAAATGTTTTAAAACACATATGATGATGATTCTTCAAGAGCCTGCTTGGTATTTGACAGCTAACGATTGTGGTGGATAAGTGATTATGTAAGCATTAACCTTTCAAGCCAAAAAGTATAACTCTGAAATGTCAATAGCTGTGTGTTTGAATGAAGTGATGTACTATGGAATGGTATGTTTGTTTGAATGAATTGATGTAGTATGGAATGATATGTGTGAGTTTGAATGAAGTGATGTAGTACGGATTGATACTAAGTTACTCTTTTTTTGTTTTTGTATCCAATCAACTCGGATGGAATGGAGTATAACCTTTTCCGTCCCCTTAAAAATCAGGGTATGAGGTAGTTTCCGTTTAGTCGTAAAAATATACAAAACAATGGCATGGTAGCTTTATTGCATTTTACTCATATATCCAAACATGAAGGAATTGCTATAAAAAATTGTTGGTATGTTCATAGTTTTAAAAATCGGACCGCTCATCGAACCGGTTAAGGTACTGGGTCAGTGGGTCAAAGGTTGGATTGGTGGGTCACTAGTTGAACCGCATGACTCGATTTTTATTTATTTTTATTAAAAAAATATTCATATTAAATGTATTTTATACTTATAAATTTTAATAAATTCATATCTTATTTTAAATTTCAATTTTTCTATCTTATTTTAAAATTTTATTTTTATTTTGTAAGAAAATATATAAAAAATTACATGTTAAACTGTATATTAATACAAATTAAAAATATAAATAATATGTACACATATAATATGCTTGCAATTGATATCACAAAATAATTTATGTAATATTTACATAGATATTATATTATTAAATATATAATTTAAAA